CCTAAACCCTAAACCCTAAGTCAGCCAGAGAGGCCCAAGTTGCGACAAGCGCCGCCGATCACGTAAATGGACGGCATGGCCTGGTGTTTCTCTCGTTTAGCTTTCGCTTTAGGGGTTTAGGGGTTTAGGGCTTTAGGGTTTTAGGGTTTTGGGTTTAGGGTTTAGGGATCTTAAACCCTAACCCCCCCAGGTACCTACTATATAGGGCCCTATAAGTGGCTCTAGTACCCTATATAGTAGGTACCTGGGGGGTTAGGGTAGCTTTCGGTAGACACGAGGCAGATGTGCAGTTTATGGCTTCGAGTTGTTGCCTCGCGCTGTGTGGGCTTTCGGTTTCAGGCTTGGGTGCTTCGAGTTTCGGGCTTTGGGTAAACTCACAACTGTGTCAGAGAACTGTTCTCAACATGGCATCCCAATTAGATTCCGGAGGGCTTCACAGACAGGCTTTGGCAGGTTCCATGGGGAACGGTCAAGCTGTTGTAGGGATTCTCCTTAGGGGCGCTAGTTCTCGTCTCAAATACAAACCACTGGAAACCATAGCCGAGAGGATCACGAACGAGACGCCCCAGCTTCCCAAGGCATGTACATTTTCATAGGAAATTTCATGCAACCGGCAGGTCGTCTAGGACGCACGAGCTTAACAAACGGCTTGGGTGACAGAACCCCCATGCCACAGTCCCCAACTTTCATGTCGCACATTATAGGATTTGAGGGGCTTGTGATATTTCTGCACTCACCCTCGGACACTCTTAGACTCCTTACGCATTCTCGCGTGACCCGCGACAACGCTTCAACCCCACGGCAGAAGGGGAACGAAGAGTCGAGCTGCGTGGTCCGCGCAGACCGGCAGGACTATCTGGAAATGGATTGCCTCTGAATCCCACACCCCAACAGGGCCTAGCTGTAAAGACCCCCAGCCATGGACTTTCGAGTTCAAGCGGCGCTTGCATAAAGCACTGGCATGGACGTCTGTAGCTCCTTGCAGAAACAGGTTTCGAAGTTATGTAGTTTATGCTCTCACACTTCGAACTTGTCAGATGAAGTCTCCAAGTCTCGCGCAATACATCTCGGGAAGCACAAGTAGTTTAGGTTTCCCTCGCGCCTGGCTAACTGTAGTTTAAGTCTCGTAAGGATTAAAAAATTACAGGGTTCGAATGGCTCGATTCCTTAAAACCCAACTACATGGGCTCCAGCAACTAAGAACCTCGTCCTTGCGTAATGACTCTCCATGCTACTGACTGAAGTACTGACATTCAAACATGGCATCGACTTACTGCTCACTTCCAGACAAGATCTGACAGGCTCCCGTCCTCACTTTAAAGGCGATACGGAGAACCACACAGACCCGAAGACCCATACACCCGGAGCTCGCGGATTGTAGGTGTTGCCCCAAACCTTACACAATGATCTGTTATGGCCCCTTAACAGAAGGGTAGCTCCCTTAAAACACCAGATTCTCGGATTAAGGTTACCCCTCCCGCCCCCGGTGCGCCTTGCCCAGCGCCCTGCGGGTTGCCCGACAGGCTCGCGCCTGGAGGGAATGCGAGAAGAGGCGGCATCTGACTTGGAGATATGGGCATGCAAGGCATCTGAACTCCCAACCGAGCACACATGCATGTCCATGTATTTGTGTAAACATGCATACGCGCCTTGCATGATTGCGTGCATGTGTCTATGTGTTTGCGTGGGCACGCCAACGCGCGTATATGAAGGCACGCATGTGTGTATTCGCAATCAAGCGAACGAGTGAGTCGATGGAGGGACGCTTTCATTCGCACACACACACACATATATATATATATATGTACATACATACGGGCATACATTCAGGCATGCACTTACACATAAACACACCCATACATACGCAGAGAAACAAACATACACAAACCTGGTTGCACGCATACATACATACATACATACATACATACATACATACATACATACGTACATACATTACGTTACATTACAATACATTACATGGCAGTACATTTCATTACATTCCATTACATTAATACATACATGAAAACATACATACATACATACATACATACATACATTCATTCATTCATTCATACAAGATTACACAATCGTATGCATCACAGTACATACTTGCATGCATGCGCACGTGCCTTCATGCATAAATGCATACATACAAACGTACATACGTACGTACATACATGCACACACTCACAGAAGTACATAATCGCACGCATAACGGTACAAACTTGCATGCATGCACACATGCCTACATACATACATAAATACATACACACAAAAGTACATACTTGCATGCACCAAGGTACATACTTGCATGCGTGCACACAGGCCTACATGATCACGACATACATACATACGTACACACATGCATACATACATACATACATACATACATACATACATACATACATACAACCATACAAACATAGACTCATGTACAAATGCATGTGTATACATACAGACATGCTTTTTCGAAGGTCACGGCCGAGGCACGGCTGGTAGACCGGCTGCTGAGACTAGCATCATGAGAAGCTGCGGATCCTGGATTTAAGGCTTTTTCCCACAAGCGCAGGGCGTCGAGCCGAGTTCTTCAATTCAGATTGCGGATGGGTGCTCTTAAGTAGGCATCCTACTAGTCGGTCGGGTGCCTTTCTCTGAAGCTTCTAAACGATGAGTTCTATCAAGAGGCTATATAACGAGCGACGCGAGAAACCAACAGTGACGGTTGAAAGAACACTATACTGGCAACGCCGATCCAACAATTTCAGCACCTGCGGATAACTCATGGCGGATATCTTAGCCCATGAACCACTACGCATCGCAACAGCATCAAGAGGAGGTGAGCTTGGTGACAGAGACTAACTAATTATAACCCATAAAGGAAGTCCTGGAAGACGCAGTCCATGGCCGGCGTAGTCAAAGGAAAAGGACAACATCGCACCTGGGACGAAATTGCTTCGCTTGGCCGTGTGCGTGGCAGGCATAATGCCATTGTTTAATGCAGAAGAGCCCGCGCGATCACTGGTATTGTCTGAGTTTGCGTGGTCAAAACAATTCTGTGTCCAGTAGCCTACGCCTAAACCCCAGGCCCCAAAAAGCAACAAAACTGAAAATCGGAGTCCTAGAACCCCAGGTGCAACCCTCCAAAAGACAAGTCCTCAACCAAGGCTTCTCTCATTTCCTTATGGCCTGGCCTGAGGACCGATCTCGTCTTGCTCCAGACCTCAGCTTCAATCGGATCTCTTGGGACTTTTTGGGTCCCGGGTGAAATCTTCTCTTGAGAAGAATGTTGTAGAACATTTCTGATTTGAAGGGGGCGGTAAAATCCAGGGATCTCGGCTTGGTTTCGAATTTGGTGGTGAGGAGTGAGAGTGCGGCTTCTTTTGTGAGATGCCTCAATCTGACGTGCGTTGTTGTCCAATCTGAAGCCTGCCGCGTGGAGCATGACACAACACCGCTCCTTCCGAGGAATATCAGGCTGGGCAGGCTGAAAAGGGGCAACCTTGCTGATGCTGACGAAGAAGGCTATATCGATGATATTGACAATGATGGTGGTTGTGGGGGGTGTAGTCCCGCTGTCGCACACAAGCAATGAACACAATGATGCTACTCTGGCCCAGCCGCTGGCCAGCTTCATGGACAGCTCATACCGTCCCGGCCACGGGTCAACGAAGCCCATGTTTCCGCCAGGCAGCCGCGAGCAGCGAACAAGTCTTTTAGTTCAGTTACGATAAATCCCGCCCTGAGCCTGTCATGCGAACTGCAGCTAAGCTGAGTGGTTAGCTTTGGACCCAGGCGGTCGTTAACTTTGGGCTCCTACCAGTCCTACCATGCCTTTGTGGCCCTGTCCAGCCCCCAGAGGCTCTTCTTCCAAATAACAAAGGATGTCGAGGTCGAAGCGGTGACAGGTGCATGGCTAGCGGCTTTACTGTCAGATATACCCAATCCCCCTGCCAAGGGAATTAACCTGAGAGTCAGCCAAAACGGCCGCGGACGCGCAGTCATTCCTCGTAAATTCCCAACCCCCCCGAAGCCGAAGGTTGCCAGGGTCCTCAGCTTTCAAGATTACCCACAAGTGGCTCATGTGGACCAGGCCCCTGCCTCGTCGTCACTCAGCCCCATGCAAAAACGGAACTATGGGGAAGAGTTCATGTCAGCTGCCAGGCAACTCGTCAAGCCGCGCATACCCACCAACCACGACCTGAGATCATGAAGAATGCCGCACATTTGGCCCGCCTCTACACACACAGCTACATATCTATGTATGTGTGTATATATATATATATATATTCTTGTATATGTATGTATGTATGTATGTATGTATGTATGTATGTATGTATGTATGTAAGAATGCATGTATGTACGTATGTGTAAGTATATGTATGCATGCATGTACGTATGCATGTATGTAAATGTAGATGTATATATGCATATACACATAAAAACTAGATATGTGTGCACATACATGCATGAACTCTGGTTGTTCACATATACATACATACATACACACACACACTCTCTCTCTCTCTATATATATATATATATATTAACTCGCACACTGTAGTCATGTAAGACGGTAGTTTGAAGTGCTTGAACTCTACTTTTGTATTATATACACATGAGCAGCTTTTAGTCGTTAAACCGGGGCAGTTAAAAATGCAAAGTGGGGAACAATCACAACATGTCGTCAGCAATTCTGTTGCCCCAGTTGCCTTTCTTTGCTACCAGTACTGGCGTGCTCTTCTAGCGCAACATGGCGAGTGCTCTGATGCGCCAGCCGCAGTGGCATAAAACAAGCGCAAAGAGATGAGCTCTTGCACATATGTATGTGGCGAACATTTTAATTAAACGCATGCAGACATTTTTTGCGATGCAGAAACTGTGTATGCGTTCCCTACCTCCCTGGTGCTTCTACCGCCCTGTCCCACTTGGTACCTTCGCATGCACAAAGGTAGCTTAGTAGCAGCATCCAAGAAGAGAGTGTCGTTGTGGCTGATATTGCTCATGCCAACTTCTGTGTCACTATATATCTCGTTGCACATGTTTAGGGACATTTACTTTCGCTTGAATTCGATGAAGGATGTCCTGCGATGCTTCACCTACCGCTGTAATATCCTGCACAGTAAACGAGGTAGGGTCGAACTAAAGGGTCGTGAATTCCTGCTTTTTAGTGGGTAGACAGCAACATGCGGAACCTGAAGCCTTGATGACTTAAACCTCTCCTCACCTACGCCAGTCTTTGCAAGGCCCCAAGACAGGAGCTGGAGACCTTGAGACTCTCAAGACCACGACACATCTAGGCCAAAGCAACCGAAGTGAGAAAGTCTGGAAATACAGGATCCGGGTCGGTCCCTTATTGTCATTGCGGGATGGCTCAACCCTCTAAACTTTTCAGGCTTCTCGGGGAAACCATGCCATGGCTGTATAGGGGCTGTAAGGGGATACTATTACTTAAATGTTCATGGCCGGAAGGCTCCGCGACGCCGCATAAGCCGTAGTGCCTCCAGCGCCAACCGCAGCATTGATTGAGGCCTGGGCTTCATGCATAATGTAAACCCCTAGTTCACGATCCCCGCTGCTTGTTGATAAGGATCCTAATCGGGATCCTATAATAATCCAGAGAGACTTCACGACAGGGGTTTACTAATCAGAAGCCTGCACACGCCATTATGTGTGATGTGGGCGACTACCAGGGAGAAACGTTTTCAGCAATTTCACACTTGGCAGAATTGGCTTCAGCAATTGAGGGCTGAAGCGGGCTGCATGAGGCTTACAAGATCTGCCAGTCGGGAATTAGGGCGAAGAGAGAGATCCGACATGTTAACTGTTAACTATATTTAACTATTCACTCAAGCAGTGCAGTGCAGAATTCTGGCATCTGCAAGACACCTGAGGACACTTGGAGTCAGGGTCCGAAACGGTGAAGACATCCGTCGAAAAAGATAAGCAGGGTGCATCGTGCCAAAATCAGATTGCATCTGCAGCTACAGAATGCCATGCTCATCAACCGGCAGCAGGAAAACCAGTACCAATTCAATACATCGGGTCCAAAACTAAGGAAGAGACCCTAAAGTCCATGAGCCAGCCTTTTTGTCCGGCGCGTGACGCAGCCAGGTTTTGGGCATGAAGTCTCTAACCCTAATTCTAACTAACTGATGACGAGTCTCACCACGCAAGATTCTTGAAATCTTGCGGAGAAACAGCAAAACTCACCATGTTTACTCAGGTTTGTTGATGCGCCAACCCACGAAACAAGCTCAGAACTCTGCACACACATCACTACAATTCTTCAGCAAAGCTCCTGGAAGCATAAACCATTCCACACCAACCTCGGCTCTCAAGGTGGCGCTTTATCGCCGCCCAAGACCGGCGTGCCGGGAGGTGGCTTGTCCGCCGCATCCCACAGCCGCCTCGAAGAGGCAGCGGGACAAAGATGTGGCTTGACGGCCTGTGCTTTAGACTTTAAACTTTAGGCCATTGCCTTCCCGGCAGCAACTCGGACGGACATACTCTACAGAGTTCCTACCGATATATGTAGACAGGTGTTTACACACGTTCAAAGACTGCCTCACACTTGTAGGATACACACCTGATGATGTCCAGATTCATTCTTCCCTCTTACAAGCCTTCGCTGCTCCAGCTGTCCCTATGGGAGTTCTAGCGCGCGTGCCCATGGGCTTGACAAGTTCTGCGAGGAGACTCGAAACCTTGAAAGTACCAGCGCCTTTCTGATCATCAAGCACTCCTACTGCCAAAAATCGATGTCTTAATGGAGGCTGAGCTGCCTCTCCAGAGGCACGAAGGCATTCAGGAGTTCCTCAGACACATACGTGAACTCCCACAAGCGATGTGCTCAGTAGTTTTGACAGGAACTGACTTGAAGATATCGCTCAGACTTGCGACGGGTGCAATCTCTATGCATATATGCAGTGCAGCTTTTTAATGGGTGCAGAAAAATGCTGTTTTGAAACAGTGCATGGGCCAACGTTTCTGTTTGGTCTGTTTTAGCACTCGTAGGTTTGGCATTGCCCGAGGCTTGAGGTTGTTTTGGCAATCATGGCTAAGTCACTGACAGCCATTGCTGCCCACGGTGACCAATAATACATCCAATAATGATCGTTGGCTTTAACTCAACTAACTACATGGACTGCAAAGGCCACGGCGGTTCTTGCTTAAGTTGCCTGGGATAAAGCAAAACATGCACCTCCCTCTCCAATTGCCGCGAGCGTCCCACCGAACTCCAGATGAGCGCGCGTCTACGCAGTCCAGGACAGCGATGTTCTGCTGTTGAGTGGGCAGGCGGTCCAGGCAAGTCTCGAAAGTTCGTCGCCGGCCATTGTCGCCCCAAGTGATTGGATTTTGTATCCAGCCAGGATTCGCTATGAATGAAAACTTCTGCGGCTGGTTGACGTGCCCAGTGTGGCAAGGGTACCTGAAAGACAGATCCGAGGGCGGGCTCGTTCTGTCCTTTGCTTCTTCAGTAACTTTTTATTGCTTTGGCCTAACAGAATTGACAGTATGCTGACTGCGAGCTGTGTCCTATCTATAGGTCACCCATTCCCAATCACCCAACACACAGATCTAATCTAGTCCTATCTGACATAGTTTAAATGTGTCCCAAATGTAACGGGCCAGCCCAGTTGCAATATGGGCTTGTGCTCGCTCCCAGCATCTATGCAGTTAGCGGAGAGAACATGCTGCACCTGCGATGCCCCGCCCTGCGTGCGAAGTCTCCACCTGTCCACACACACACACACACACACACGGATGTGCACATGCTCTCTCCCGAAAGCAGGTGGGGGGAGATGCTGCGCTCGAGTTGTTCGCAAATGCTGGCTGGCCCAGCCTAAAGCTTGGCATGTCAAGTGAGGGGTCCGGCACGAGGTTCAATGATCCTGTGTTGAGGTGACGACCCTCATCGCCTCTGCTGCGGGGTACACTCTGAAAGGCCAAGGACATTCCCGGACAGCGCTGAAAGGCATCGCCCATCGTCTTGGTCCTAGGCTGTTATTATGGCTTCGGGCTGTGTTCTGTCTGCATACACGACGTCAGTCGGAAAAGTCTTCGTTGCGCATGCTCCCAAATTTGGCTGTTTACCGACTATGTCGCGAGCATTGCTCAATTCTACCACCCGCTGGTCTGTTGCACCGCTCGACGCTTTGGCAAATCAGGCATGCATCTGCACTCTACACTACCAAAAGCTGCAAGACAAAACACCATGAACCCCTTCTTGTTGCAACAGGCCTCGTTGTCCAGCAGCCCTAAACCCCGAAAGCCGAAGCCCAAGTCATGGCAAACCGAAGGCCCTAGAGCAGTCTCCCGGTCCTTGAGTAGGAAAGTGCCCTCCTGATCCTCCTCGAGACCTCAGGAAAGGGCAGCCCAGGGGTCGGACAAAAAGAGGCAAGTAACCAAGCCTGCCCCGTTATTTCGACTGAGAACTTCAAACATATGTTCGAACATTCGTGCAGCTGTTCGTACAGCATAGTATGGATCGATAGATGAGTAGAGAAAGCAGCAGGTTTGCTTTCTTCTGTCATTGCCCTTGCGAAGCACGAATATTCTCAGCAGGGTGGAACTCTCGAAGCAGCTCTCTCTGCGGAAGCAAATCCCGGGATGCCCTACGACAAATCCTGAGAAGCGCCATGCTGCCAGCGATCCCTGGGAAGCCGAAGATCAATTCGGGTGCCCAGGCAAACCAAGGCACGTTGAAGCCGCTGCCCCGGTTTAGGAGCGCAGGTAACTAGTCGATACTCTCCTTCATGGGGCATCAGTCAGTGCAGCATAGATTGCATAGTGTTTCGCTTGAACTCCTCACACCAACGGAATATCTCGCTGGCTGGTACATGGCGATCCTGTGCATCCGAGCGAAAGCCAAGTCTTGCTCAGACTCGTCGGTCAACTTAAGGACGGCAAGCACACAACATGCTTCTATTCATCCTGGTAATGTGATTCTCGAAAACGTGAGTTGTCAAAGCCGATCCTTGTGGAGGGTTCACCTTCTCGTGGATCTTCCGCGAGTCAATGCATATCTGTCCGCCACCGTCTCTCCCCTGCGCACACTTGGACTGTGAAAGCACAAGGCAGCGACTGAATTGGTAACAGTTTAGAGGGTGTGTGGGGTTAGCTTCGTACATAGACCCATGTTTGGGATTATGGCTCCTGCTGGAGCAGGACAGGGGAGATGCAAGGCACCTCAAAACAAGTGTCTTCTACGCAATGCATCGGGAAGGCCACCAAACGGTAGCACCAATGCCTTCACGACCTCTGTTCACAACAAGGCCTACAATGTGAGAATTGGAGATACATCGCATGTTTGGCGAGTGCCCTACCGTGCCTCCCACAAGAGCCTTGCAGCACGGATCTGCCACACTTGGTTCCTCGATCTGTCGGATGTCGGAGATATTTGGAGGCTTCGGTAATCAGGGACATACTTCGGCGCATATAATACTGGGGTTGGATGTGCTCGGCTTAAACTGGCGAGTTGGAAGACAAGACCACGAATCCTCGTGTACTATATGTCCTCCTGCTGCAAACATCATGCGCAAGCCATGGCATTTTTCGTTCTGGTAGCTGGAATTCTTGTTCACCCTGAAGCGGGAACCCCAAGCGTTGCCCCCATTGATGATAAGAGGGTCATGTTGTGCGCGCTTTCGTCGTAGCAGGGGTAAACCAGCACGTCCCGACCACCGCTGGAGTCCAAGCAGTTGCGGCCATCGCCTGCTGCATTCGGTTATAGGGCTCTGGTTTATCTGCTTAGGGTTTTACTGTGCATGCCTTTGGCCCAGAAGACTTTTCCTGAGGACTCGGGGGCTCCGACTGCGAGCTGGTGGGACTGCGGGTTGTCGTTTATCAGGCTTCACTATACCGTGGGATACGTGCAGCCACTGGGCTATGCGACTTCGGTCAACTACTCTCATACTTCCTCTACTCTCAGGTAGGAAAACCAACCAAGCTTGCATAACAGCGTCTCGAAGGATCCCCTACTGCCCTGCGTAATCCCGGCCTGTCTTGATTTCAAAGCCTCCGAAGCGCGGGGTGGCCTTGAAGATCCTGGGGGGCTGGGGGAAGTCGGAAACAGCAAATGTACATATCTATATATATATATATATATATACATATACATATCTATATATATATATATACATGTGTGTGTTCTATGTATATATATATATAGATAGATCTATCTAGATATATATATATATATACATATGTATATATATATATATATTTATTTATGTAGTGTATATATACATATATAATTATATATATATATATGTATATAAGTAGGAAGAACACCGTAGTAGGATAGGTCATCGGATAGGTCATTGTGTATAGAATAGTTTCGACTCTCACAGCTTGGACAATTCGGGCGAGGCGTCTGAGTGCACAGGTCTTGCTTTCGGCCCTACCACGTTGGGTAGGAGAAAAGAACTATGAGAGTAGGGTTGCAGCACTCGATCGAAACACTGATGGGTGCAAATTCTGAGTGTTTACGTATCTTTAAGCTTACTCTAGTCCTCCATCCGTCTAGC